CATCTGTCTCAATATAAATATTGATTGATGTGAGTTGTGTGAATAACTTTTTCACTGGGATCAGAAATATAATATATAGTATTAATTGGAGTTCTTAAGCGATATCGATCTCAATAGTGGTGTATTTAAACCATGATATGACGAGGTCGAATAATATAATAATAGTTTAGTGGCCCAAGATCTGACTCCATTATTATCGTATGGATGATTGCTGTCGAAATGTTCATAACAATCCCCGTATATAATTATCAACTTAATCCGCGTTAGTGAATAACGGAATTAAATAAGTCAAATACGAAAATGGATGTTTGAATACATATATTTGTACACTGATTGATCTGGATAGACAGTCAGAGGGACCAAGTGAAGAGAAGAGAGCAAAGTGAAATGGCGTGCAATGGAGGAGGCGTGTGAGCCAATTCCATTTGATCAAACGTTAATCAATATTTATAGTCACACAGAAATAAGCTACAGACATGTGGCGAGTAGGATAAGATATGCACATACATAGGCTTACATAAAAGCAGTCAAATTGATAAGTGAATAATTGACAAGATCAAAACGTGACTCAAGAAAAATGGATAAATTGGCCTGTCCAGAAGCTAGAATAAGTTATGTGGGCTTAGCGTAGTAACGGACACTACAATGGGAACGGATTTGCACTGATAACACGATTCAAGACAAACAAAACCACTCCCTTTCCCTAGGTACCTCATAACTCACTGATCCGTAGGGTATCAGATAACACCATGTGAAGATGTACTATCTAGTAAATATATCACTTTTTATATACAATTTTAAGGAAACAAAAAACAAGTGATTGAAGAATTTGCACCAATTAAACAAGCGAGAGAATAAATTATCTAATATGGTTATTTCTACCCCGTAGCAGCACTGATCAAAATTTCTATCTACGTAAACTACGTTAGTTATAAAGGCTGAAGCAACTTCGAGAATACCTAGAGTATTAAGTGGATCCACTAGTTATTTTTCCACATTCCCGAAATAGATATAACAGAAAAATCCTGATACATAACTGTCACAACTGTAAAATACATAATCATACATTCACAAATTTCCATCTGAGTTTTCCTTTGACAGAACCAGGTTTGTTGAACACTCTATACCGATTAAAGAAGATATCTAAGTTTACAAAGAATGATCGACTTCATTATCATTTTAAGTGACAACTTTCTGAAGACCTTTAATACGGCAATAGGACTGATTGATACGGGACCCTTCGATTCATACAGTCCAGTATCTCCTCAAAAGCAAGAGATTAAAAGTATAAAAGCTTCTTGTACAACCGTTACTTAATGAAATTGAAGGTATCTTATCGTCAGGATATTTCTAGACATATTTGTAGAGAATTCTTATCACTTTCCTAGGTTCTATAATATTTCTGGCCTATAGTATAAGAAGTGTAAACTCACATGAAGTATCAAATCTATTCACATGGGCACTCTAATGGTCAATGGCTTTTTCCTGATTTTATTGCTATGAGATAAATAATGCCTTAGTAGATTGTACTCGATATGATACTGATATAAAAACTCCTCTAATGCAATGCATACAAGAATTTCAAATACAAAACATGATATATTTGCAATCGTTTTAAAGCATATACAGTTAAATTGAACTCACTTTTTATATATTTTTGTCATATAGATCAAGTGAGTCAGAATCTCAATGCTCATTTTCATATGACCACAAGATTTATTCACCTGAAATAGATGCACGTGATTCTACCAAAAGAATGAATCAGGAAAATACAGATTTATGGATTTTAAAATCAACTGGATCATCTGCATCTTCAGCTGCTCTTTCTCCGACAGATCCTCAAAATCTCAAATCCAATGTGCATTCTGATTCACAAAAACCAATGGAAGCGAGTATAAGTGATCCTTCTTTATGTACTGACAATTTAAATAATATTCAGTCTAAAATACCTCCACCATTTTCATCTCCATCTCATCAGTCACGGTTAGCTGCGAAACAACGTTTCTGTCTAGAACCTCCTAAACCTTTAACAATTGATCCTTTACGATTCATTGGTTCAAGGAACCAAGAACGAACGCTCATATGTGCATTGGATGATTGTTCTGAAGCTGTAGAACCTATTAAAAGCCCAATCATTTCTACAGCAAACGTATGGCCGATATGTAACACAGCAGAACTCAAATCAGTAGACTTGCCATCCAAAGTTTTATATGAAGAACCACTAACTCAATCTCCATATGAATGCAATAGAGTCACAACAGATTATGAAAATAGTACTTATGAAACTGACTCAGGAGATTGGCTTGACAGTGACGCGTGCAAATACACCAAAATTGAAGGAGTACCATTAGCTACTCCTGAGGATGTTAAAGATGCAGAATCTTCAAGTATCCTTAATGAACCGCATTTTTATGAAACAATTACATCAAGGCACCTCAATCGCTCCTCATCGTTACATTGCCGTCTTCCAAGTGATTATCAATTTGTGGCTATAACTAGGAAGAAAAAGTCTAGTGTCCGAATAAATAGTTGGAATTCCGATGCATCAATTTCTAATCCTCCATCAATTATTCAAACATCAATGAGTTCACCTTTAATTCGATCTACTGAACATCTTAGCTGGGCTAAAATTAAACAGATTACTGTTAAAGAAGAATTCGAAACTACACAAATCTCGAAGTCATCCAATCTAGCTAAGTTGTATGAAAAACAAAAACATGTATGCAGCGAATTAGATGATAGATATGAACGGGAATATTTCATTGATCCAAAGATACTTGTTAAAAGTCTCAGTAAGTGGGGCCTTTTCGAAAATGATAATCAAGATACATCTAGTACAAGTAGTGCAGACCTTACTTCACAACCCATAATTCTACCGAAACCTGACAGTATTCAGCAATTTCATGGAAAACTTTACGACGTTAAAATAACAAATACTCGAGACAATCGTTTAAATCGAGATTTGATTAAATCTCGTAAAACGATCAATTTCACCCGATCTCATCCAAACGGAGAATCCAGATCTTTAGATAGAATGAATTCAAACCCTTTAAAGATAGTATATCAAACGAAGCAAATTGACAATACAATATATCCTCATGTCATTCCTGTTATGTCTGAAAGTCCCGTTATCTTGAAGACTTCTCTGAAGGGAGCAATCAGAAGCAATCCTAAGTCAGTATCTAGGAGACGATCTACAGTAAGCCCAGATAGTGAAGGCGTATATGTGTTTCGAATTGTTGGGGAACCAGGAACATCCAACTTAAAACCTGTATTTAACCAAACACCCACCAACTTGAATATTCAGAAGCATGTAAGTGAGAAAACAATTATTATGGGCAGTGACGCAGGTGGGAGTGATAGAGTTTTGGTTTGACTCATTTAAGATTAAAGGTAAGTATACATTGTGTTTGAGGATAGCATATCAATACGCATTCGAATTATCATAAAATTTAGCTTGTAATCATCTAATCATAAAATAAATATGGGTCATATGAATCAAGAAGATGTCACCAGTAACTATATTTGTCCGCAAATTGATCTAATGTTCCATTTGTTTTAAAACCTGGTACCTGAATTGCAATGAATGGCTTTGATTATAAGCTACCTTTCAAGGTATACGGGTTTAGATCAGAGTGAAGTGAGTTTGTAACAAAACGTCACTGCAGATCCATTAGTATTGATTTCGTATTTTCAGAGAAAATCGAAAACTAGAGAACATGGTAAATTCCGCTAGTCTGGTTTAACAGTGTTCAAGTTTTTTGGTAGGCAGTTCGGACCATTATTTAGTATCGCATCAACTGTTCTCATATTTTTGTAAGAAATTGTGGAGTAAATTAGTGGTAGGATCGTCAACTTTGGCTGATATGAGTGTTGAGTGCATCCTCAGATGCCGATGTTTTCGTCGCACTGAAAGCTGATTCTCAGGTCTAGCTGAAGGTTTATTGCGTAATAACGAAGCTATATTTAGTCATTTAGGAAAAGCTTACCACTACTTAGTGCTCATTGATATTTTTTCCTATAGGCCTGGAAGTGGATGAGATGCTCCTAAATTTCACTTTGTGCAACACCGATATTCTCAGCATGAATAGTTGTAACTTGATTGGATTAAAGACTATGCGTCAGCTTAAAGACACACGCCTATTCACTAGACCAGTGTACAGCTGAAATAACTTATCGCAAACTTGACATCGTTTTATAACTTACTGACAACCGAAGTCAATATAGTATAGAAGAAAACTAAGGTGAAGTGGGTTAAGACGTACCGACGATCGTCATTAAAAATAAGAAAAGAGGAACGCACATTAATTCTCTGAATACCATGTTCACTATGAGACGGGTTTGCAGACGAACGGAAACCCCACATACTGACTACTACCTCTAATTGAAAATTATTTTGTATGACGTTTTAACGGTCAGCTATATTCAGGACTTTGGCACCATTCATTTTATGATTTTTCGATATTTCTTTTTATATTTTCAGGACATACCGGTCTTGAGCTCCGAACTATGCTTTCGATATAAATGAACCTGAGCGCTTTCCAAATACTAGTCCAATATTTCCGGACCGATATATATTTCACAATAGGAACTTTTTATCAGGGTTCTTGTCCCTGTTTGGCTATATATATAATCAGGCACTTCCGGACCCAGAGCTTCATGTTGAAGATATGTGGAGTGTTATTACAACTGATACCATTTCTTTCTTTTCTCTATTATTGAGTGTAATTCTTTTACGCAAGTGCATATTATATGACAGACTAAATAATCTTTGCAGAATTTCTTCTGCTTATTTATAATTTTACTCAATCTCCGACCACATATTGCGTTTTTCAGTAAAATAATTTATGATTTATAAGTTGCTTTTATTCCCACATATTGCTTAGTAATAAACTGGATATACTCAGATTATGTGTAGGGTGTGAAGCTGGTTGTTTGTCAGCTGTGTTTCTACTTTTTTATGATGATAAATTTTAAAAACGGAATGAAGTTTGTGAAGTACTAAAGAAATAACAGGTTTATTATTTTCTGAATAGGATAGTCGAAAATTATGTACAGCGAACGAAGTATACGTGGAATTGGTAAATGTACATGCGTTATGAAAAAATACAAGAAATCTCACATTTAGTAGAGAAAAAGAATCTGGAACTAACATCACATTTCATACAATATTACGGTGTGTGTGTGTAAATATATATACATAGAACCCCAGATGCCTAGCGAAGTAGGCTACTGCGAAAAGTCATAATGTACAAAGATTTTATGATACAAGTTAGGTTGGGAACGTTTTAGGAAAATTAGCCAACTAATAATTAAATCATATTACAATCAGAAATCAAGTCTATGCAAAAATAAAAATAAGAAACAAAGAAAAGACTCTTAAGGCTGAGAGCGCCAATACGTCCTATAGTAAGTACGTGTACGACGAAGCCTCGGTGTACGAGAAAGTATGACCTGCATATCTCTGAGAGTTGCTCGATGTGCCCTGAGACTGAGTGCTAATGAAAATCCAGATGTATTTGGCATGTTATCACCAGTCCCACCGACACCGGAGACCGATGAGTTTGAATTTGCCGGCAAAGCTTCTAAATTGAGTTGCGTTAGATTTGGTCCTGATGTTACCAAACCTAGTCGACTGGCACTGACAATAGAAAGGCGATTAGCAGTAGCAGCAGGTAGGGCACTCACCAAATTTGTCACACCATCTCTTGTTGGAAGAGAGGCTCCCAAAATATCTGTTGAAATGGAGTTGCCCATTTCATCTAAAGTATCTAGACGACGCTTGCGTTGTGGGCCGATAGCGTGAAGAGCTGTAAGATTGGCTTGATGTTGCTTTTCACGTTCATAGTCTTCAGACGCTATCCGTCGAGCCATTTCCCTCATCTGCATTTGATGAGGATCTTCATTTCGAGAACGCGACTAAAAATAGAAAAGTGCAAAAAAATAGTGATTTATTTTATGTTTTGAAAGGTGAAAACATTAAATTAACCAATGAGGACGAAAAGCGTAAAATAGAGACTCCCGCACAATTCATTTTACCAATATTAGCTGACGTTACGCTACAAGGGGCTTGTCTACAAGACACCTATAATTTGCAAAAACAAGTCAGTATTCGGCAAGTAAATGAAGTTAAATAAGATTACCTTACAAGATATGTACTTCGAAACTTACTTTTGCAGCCTTCAAAATTAGATCCTTTTCTAACTCCGATTGCCTCATTCGGTCATGCTCATCCAACTTCTGAAGAAACCTCAACTGTTCACGCGTGTGATCTGTTTGAACCAAACGAGAATCCTCTCCTAAACGATCGAGTCGATGTGATACTACAATCCTCAACTTTGATAAAATATTTTTGATGAATATCTGCAAACCGTGTGCGAGACACGCGATAGATTCTTCTGTTAGTGTTTTTATGCCATGAGTTTCTAATATTTCCTTAACTTTTTCTGATGGGAAAAATGGGTTGTCACGTGTAGGTGACATAGCGGGGTGACGAATATCGTCGCTCAAAAACGAGAGGTCATTCTGTTTTCGGTCCACACCTTCTATTAATACCGTAGATCCATTCAAGGATAGGACATTGGAGCCTACTTTGTTGTGAACAGCGGGTAGAATTCCAGGAGAATAAGTGTTAGCATATCCAGATTTAGCACGAATTACAGGGGGTACGGATGCAGAAACACCAGCAACTGATTTTATCGACGCTAAGTTGATACCCAATGCTGTGGAAGTGGACGAAGCAATAATTGGTCGCAAATTTTGATAGTTCGGACGCGTACCGTTAATAGTCGATGTGAAACGTGTCGAAACCACTGTTGCGGCGGTTGCATTAGATACGACAGACGTTGAAGATGAAACACCACTAAAAGATTGAGCCAAACGATATTTCGTACCGGTGTTAGAACTTGAAGCTGCATCAAAGTTTACGACAGACGTAATACATGTCCGGGGAGGAGCAGGAGCCAATAGTGGGGGTTGTGTTCGGGGTGTTGGAACAGTAACAGGACTAGTTGGAATAACTGGTGACGAAACTGATGACATGAGTGTGCCTACTATGCGAGGAGTTGTATTCGTCGGTAGAGTAATGCGAGGGCCAACGGGAACTGTTGAAGAAACTAGTGTTGTAGAGACCGCAGCATTAGGACGGGGCTGAAGACCTACGGTAGGTAATGTTGTTACGATCGAAACAGGGACTGCAGTGGGTACACCTGTGAAGATATCTTTTGGGGGAGGTTGTATGTTTGGGAGACGACAGACACCATTAGCTAGATCTCTCCTAAGTAAATCTATGTTGTCCTTTATGAATGGGGCGAGGTCCATACCAGGATTGGCACTTTTAAGATTGCTACGTAGTTGTGCACTGAACGAACTGGCATCAAGTTCTCCATTCTATATAAACAAAGTGAATGGTAAAAACTTGTGACACATGAAGTCAAAAGTAATAATGAGAAGATCGATTGATAAAACAGCGGAGATGTCCGTCCACGGAACTGAATACGGAATCATAAATGAATATTTATCAAAATACAATATCACTGCTTAAATGATTGAAGGTAGTAGTGATCTACTGTTTTAAAAAATTTAACTTCCGGTTACTAAATTGTAGGTTTACCTATTTTTATTAAGGTAACCGGATAGTTGAAATAGCCCTACTATCCAATGTAGTTCAAAATGGAGTATCTGAAGTCGATGAGTTACATTTCGCTTGTCAAAACAGTGTAATGTAAGGGATATTTGAACGTTAAATAATAGATCACTATGTTAATATCTAAAGAAAGGACATCATAAATATTTGGGGTTATAAAAGCTATTTCAATTTGAATATGTCTAGCATAGCTAACGAGTACGTGTGATTCTAAGACAAAAAATCTCTCGCTGAAGTATGTAGAACCTCGGAGCGGAATGCAACGACAGATATGCAGATTACAGGTTTAAATCTTACTCCAGCTACCGTAGTTTAGTGATTCGGAGAACATTGTTAACCCTCATACAATTTACATGCTACACAGTTTAGAAACGAAACCTGTTCACGATCACTGAATTGTAAAATACACAAAATATGATGTTAAGGTAAAGTGACTTTAGAATTTATTTAGTTAAAAACTTACCACTAATGCTTGAATTAGCGTTGCTACTGAGCTATGAGTGCTAGCTGAGACATTCTTTGATAGTTCTAACAACTGGTTAAAAAATCCCACCAATTTAGTTGAGGAACCCGACTGAGATGTGACAACTCCTGATCATAAAAATAAATATCAGAAAATACCTCTTGAAAAAGTTTTTAAGCGGTCAAACAAACTGAAAACATTGGAATAAAGGATTTGGCCACTTATTTAAAGCTTCCAACTTCATAATAACTTGTCCCTAGGGGTCCCAATGTTCCACAGTAGTCAGCTAGGTGTTATAACTAAAAGGGGTGAGTTTTACATCCTCATTCCGTTGGCCTGCGTTAATACCCGAACTAAGAATAGGGAGTAAAGCAGTGGGATGCTTTGACTCGTGATCTCAGCTGTTGAAACTTCACTTATCTTGGAAGTCTGATCAGCCCTAATAGGCTGGTGTCTGGTGAAATCTTTGCATGGATTCAAAAGGCTCGTTTGGCTTTTGACAACTTACGTCACCTATGACGAAAGCAAGATATCCGTCTATCAATTAAAGGACGAGTGTAGTGTAAAGCAGTTCATTCTGTTTTACTTGACGTTTGCAAAACGTCACCATTAAGAGTAGAAAATACTCGTAAACTACTAATATTTGATCACAGATGTCTTAGAAATACTGCTCTCATCTGTTGCGATCACCGGGTAGGTAATAGTGAGGTTAGACACAGGATATTAGGGAATGATGGTAAATCAGATGATGGGGTTGTGAATGTTCATCAAATGAGATGGTTGGGCCACGTGTTTCGTATGCCTGAACACTGGTTACCACGACGTGCAATGCTGACTAGTGTTGGGGATGGTTGGAAGAAAGTTAGGGTTGGCCAAACCGAAACGTGGAATCAGTGCTTGAGGTCACTGACTTTTGGTCCGAGCCATAGCGTTAGATACAGACTACTTGGTTGTGGTTCGCTCGAATATCGTAAACAATGGTTGGGGATTCTGTGTGACATGGCTGAGAATCGATCACAATGGCGTGGGTGTGGTGTATACACTCTTTGTCTGCTCTTAAACCGTGAGATTCAAATTACTTTATACCTTTCTTTCTAATTCTTTCTTCCTGTATTATATCGTTGTACGAAATCCTTCTTTTGTATATTACTACCACTGATGTAACTACTTCTATGGATTTGGTGTTCATCTTGTTGTGCTAATGAGGTGTGGCAACTTGGGCCGATGCATGTATGTGCATGGTCCTACTGACTGACTGACCCCATTGTCACATACCACCAAATTTACTGCATGAGGAAGGTATTTACCAAATATGGGATTACTTGGTCCTGAAAATTCCACATCACTAATGCCTTATATAATTATGGTCACCAGGGTACATTTAAAAAACGAATAACTGACAATCTAAATTTGAAAATGAAAGCTCAAAAATATCATCTCTTGAGGTTTGGGTTTAAACTGCAAGGCCAACTGAATCGTTAGAATACATCTGGGTCACTGCCTGAGGTTTAGCATCAAGTTCTCTAAGGTCTTTAACAACGGGGATATGATTATTTTGTGAGGGCTCCAAGTAATAAGTCTATGAACCGATGTCTTGATTGGGCCAACTTCCTGACAAGTTTGTTTGGGTTTCATCGACTTCATTTTTATCTCATGTGGAGTGTTCGTCTCTCTACTAGGTGCAAGGAAAGTTTACTGCATAATGGTTTGTTTGTAATCACGTTATTGTTGTAAAGCGTGGCTAGAAATGCTATCTGTCGATTCATTATGAATCGTCAGTTAGGGTCCTATGAGTGGTGTAACTTAGTGGATTAATAAGTTATCAAATGTGGTTCAGAAGAGAAGACAGTAGTTTCTGGTTTAGATTTCCTTTATATCCTACATGGAAGTGAGAACTCAAGTTATAAAAAAAAACTCTGAGCTGCTAGTAAATTTTCAAAAATGACAACAAAGGTTTCGAATTTTAACTAGATGAAATGAATATTTCAAGTGCTTCGATAGTCATATGTAAAGCTGACCCATATATATAATTAAAATGGAACTTACTTGGCATGACAGGAGTGGTAGCAAGTACACCGTTTGGTTGGAGTACAGTTTGTCCAACCGCCAAACTCCTAACTTGCATCACACTCGGAGCACTTGGAAGGACATTATTAGTTATCCCAGATTTAGGAAGCAAGTACACCTGGTTAACCATGGGTGGTCGAGGGACCTTTTTAAGATAAAATTATGCAAGGAAGTCTTATAGAAATGTACCACCGGGATTAAACTATGTATGAAAAGTTATTTTTCAAATTTAAATGGAACTTTTAGAGAAAATAGTGGGATATAACTATCCTTTCTACATATTGATATGGAAGGTCTCACAATGTGTGGACAACAATATCAAAAAAAGTAATCTCATGAGTTGTTACGGAAGAACAACATTTGTTAACTTGTTCAAAGTCATCTGGCCTGTGGGAAGATGAAGGTCAACAAATAGAAATACGCTGGTACATGAAAAGCAACAACTGCCACTGACACTAATCTTATTTCCTACTAGCGAGTTACCAAGCTGTTAACATACTTCAGTTGATTAACTCAATTTGTACCTGTAATACTCAAAGGGACTTAGTTGTCGAATGAAACAGCTACTAATCAGTCTCATTTTCCAGACTCCATCAACTTTGAGCAATGAAGTGACATCGCTAGCCATGATACAAAATGTGGGTCGAAGTCAGTTACACAGATATGGGCTTGGTTACTAAGTCGTAGTGTCCAAATATCGAAAGTTGGTAAACCTAATTAAAATATGCTACAATTCAGTAAAAAAATACGTCGTCCATTGATCTTAATGCTTTTATTGAATTGCTTGTCCTGTGAATAAAGTATAGCAACTCGGGTCGATGCATGAATTTAAAAATCTCCAAGACGTTTTGTCTCATGTGTTCTGAGGGACAATAAAATATTCATAGCTATCTTAATTATGAGTCTTTATTCAGCTACTGCACTATATTTCAATTCAGAAAAGTGAGTAAATTTGTTTATTCTTAAGTACTAACATCTAAGTAAGCGATATTAAGATCAGGTTGGCTGAGTTTTAATACATCGGATCACCTGAGTCTTTCAAACTTCTTATGTTATCTTGTTCCGCGTACTAAGGTATAATGATTATGATTAAGGGGAGAAGCGAACCCCAAATTCATCAAGTATCTAACCGACGACTACATAGAAGCTGGATTATAGAGAAGTAGACTAGCAGTTGCGTCGATGAATTAGGAAAAATCAGTTGTAATGGGATAGGTAATAATTAATTCATCAGTTACAAGGAAGACTGGTTGGGTTGAATTGTTTCTTTTTATTTGATCATATGTACAAATATTTGTGAATTTCCTTCGTGATCTTCAGTGATTGTAACCGATAACTTACTACGTTGAGTCTCGCACTAATTTAACGCAATCAAAGGACATCGTTATGTACCACATAGTCCACAGATAATTATGAAAAAGCATATGATTTTTACTCAGGGAAATTCGATTTTATGCTTTTATTGTCTTTAACATTGCAACTGTGGTAAGGATTCCTCTAAGCGCACAATAACGGATTGGCCTCGAAAATAATAAGTGAAACAAGGTTGAGAATGTAATGAGATTACAATCATACGACACAATGAATTACAAACTCCTGTAGTATCCCATTAGCACTGATGGTTTAGTGATAATATACGGATGCTCAGCACTTTATTGATCGGCACCAAGAAGATCTGAATATACTTTGCATTACCTAGCAATATCAAGTACACATAAGCAATAAAATTTCATTCAATCCTTATTGCTTCAACTCAAAACATAGCTTAAGTGTTACTGGTGTACCATCAATCATGATGACGACAGACTGCTGAAAACTTATCGAAAACCCAGTCGCAAAACATACCAACTACCTACAACCGGATATGTTTGCCACCTCCTAACCCAGAGGAATCAAAGAATATATTTTATCCACAATTTTGCTTATCCTTAGTTTAATTTGATCAAAGAAGTAAACTTTAAGTTATGGACGAATCAATCACATTTAAGATAGCAGGTCTTGGATTTGGCGAGAAATTTATTTACTCATTTGGCTAAATACCATTTTGACATTATGGCTGATGTCATTACATCATGAGAACACTAAATCTAATTCCCAATCTTAACATTCAACTAAATCACAATGCTAATTCCTCACACTAATATATAACTTTCATTTAACCCTGGTAAGTAGGCGAACATTCCAAAGTCATTTTAGTGTTGCTCAAATGTCGTCCATAAATTATAGTCTTACCGATCAAAGCAGTAGGAAGAATCATGCTACGAACTAGATACTGCTAAAATATCTAGAACAGGATGTGATGAGTCCGAACCCTGAAATCTAAGAATCAAAGCACTTTTCTTATTGAGGCACAGAAATATTTTTTCGATAACCGTTGAGCTATTACAACTTTTACATCAGATGCCTTACAGTTATAAGTACTAGGAAACCGCAGATTAAATGAAGGGTCTTGAAACTGAGGAACCCTTCGAACTAACACCGGAGGTTTGTAGTTGTTTGCTTTCCATAAAATGTTTAGTTGACCAGCATCCTAACTAAACAATTAAAAAGCTTGTGTTACGTAGAGAAATAGTCCTAAATTATCCCCAAACAAGACCACCAGTTTTTAAGGGATGGGATATCAGTCTACGAATCCTTGTGGTTAAAATTTACTGATGATTAATAACCCAATATCATTTTATGGGGGGTTATAAAATAACATCCTGCTTAATCAAGCTGTTGTAGCAAGAAAAATCAGCAACCTGCCCAGTTATATATATAATCATGAAATTCCACGAGGAACTGTCACCTAATATCGTTCAATTTGAGGTTGTCGTGTAGTTAGGATGCAAATGAAAGCATACTGCAAGCGTCCTTTCGGATTCGTACTAGTTTTCTTCTAAATGAACAGAACACGATAGTGATAGTAGCTCCTTCGCAGAAGTACTTAGTGAACGTTCAAGTAATGATCTGCAATTTCGCAAGTCTACATAATCTAAACCTGGGAAGCCTTGAAATTAGGTATCGGGGCCAGCTAGTTCTCCTTTTGTACTAAAGACATTATTTTGGGAGATTTAGGGAATTTAATTGTTCGAGCATCTTAAGATTCATTACTCCTAAAATGCGATGCGAGAAAGACCTTTGTGGGATATCAAGTCAAATACACTCTGGATTTTTATCTCCATAGAATTTACCATAACTATCAAATCATTGAACCACTAGTTTTGAACTCAGAAATGAGACAGTTGTGGTACTGATGTTGATACCTATAAGAAGACTATGTTACCACTATCCCTTTCTAATAGCTCACTCTCTAGAGCTTCGTAACAGACAACTGTACCCTCATCCCAGATATCGGTTAAAAAATAAAAACGATAACTACGACGCATTTGTCTGAAGTTTATATTAGATTTCAAATTAGTAAATACATTGCGTAAATGAAACATAATCTTTCATGTTTAATATCATCCACAAGTATCGAGGTCACTCCAACACATCTTAAGTCAAGATTGACACGTTTAATTACCACTGTACGTTTTAGCAACGAGTCAAAACAAAGACACACTAGGCTCATAAATTGCGTATGGCATTGTTTCTACTTACAAGGTTGTTCTAGTTTCGCTTTCACACAAGCCAAATATGCAGCGTGGTAAAGCATTCATGTTCCTACTTTGCTGAGAAAATAAAACGTTACTTTAGGTTATCGACTATTTATTTATTTATTTGAACACATAGATTTGGTAATGTGTGGTCGCGAGACAGAATTTCCGGGACCATTTCCAGGAAGTGCCAACGGTCAGCAACACGGTTCCGTATGTATAAAAATCTATGAATCTACAAGTTTTCGATTACTTGATCGTATCAAATCAGAACTTACAGAATAGTTAGTGCTAGATGGGACAACACATAATAGGTACCACTTAATGTGAGCATCAAATGTAAAGACGACACTGGTCTGCATATAAATTAGTAGTCAGGATCCCCCTTATGTCTTCAAAACAATCCCAGTGTTTGTCTATAAAAGGATTGTGAAGTGAGAGCTAAGGGACGTCGGAAAAACTACCTACTGAGAATGCTGGCTCCTTACAGACGGTACAAAAACAAAGGTTGACGGAATCTCATTTCCTTAAAATATATCACTTACGTTGGCAGGGACAATATTTCCGAGAGGCCTTGTCTGTGCACGAATACTGGACAGAGGTATCCGGACGGGCACTGGCAACTGTTGACCTACATAGATAGAAGATCACAGCAAAAGATTTGTCTTGTGCAAGTTGAAGTTACATAACTTAACAATAAAACAAAAACCTTGGAAAACAATGAGCAACTACATATTAAAATGCATAGATTAAACACCATAACATTGTCTCGTAAGCCCAACCTGCAGGCCGATCACCCATAACTTGAAGGCCGCGCTCGTTGATCTAGCGCATCATTTAAAGCAAGTTAGTGAACCAAGTGATCTTAATAAAGCGCGATAAATGATCTAACTGAGTGTTTTGAAAAATAATTGACATCTTTGTATGTATTAGCATTAACCAGCTGTTTGGAGTTGTCTGGCATTTGTTTATGATCCCAGCGAACCGGGTAACTTTCAGATTCAGGTTTGTATAGTAAGAACCGAAGACCTACGGTCTATGTTATTACTTTTCTAGTATTCTTCCGTAAGTGTTTAGTCTTCTCTTGAATGGGTCGACCGAAGGTGCGACACCACTACCTCGGGTAACAGGTCCCAAGCATTGATGACTCGGTGTGAAAACCTTCATGTCAGCGGTATTTTGTTCGTTCTAGGTTTTTTATACTCACCTACTATGCCTTCTGAAATGTCAATATATAGTGGGAATGGAAAACGAGAATATATTGGGCCCGAAACCATTTCTTAGGATCCCGTACATCAAAATCAGATCACCTCTCAATCAGCGGTAGAACATAGTAAAGAGATCTAGCTTCTCAAACTTTGCATGGTAAACCCTAAAGCCTGAACATAGTTCTCAAGCTTAGTTCTCACTAAGGTTTTGTATATTGTAGTGAGCATGATATTATCTAACTTGTTGAATGCCCATCGTAAAGCTAGTAGGGTCTTAAGCCCCTCAGCTGCAACCTCCCAGCATTAGGCCGTTGCCTTAAGATCACAGCTCACTGTCACCCCAAGATCCTTGTGAGACCGAACCACGGGTACAGGCACTTCTCCTATGCTGTACCCATTTATCTTTGTGTTCCCAAAGTGCATACAGACACAGTTTGTCGCGTTGATAATCATTAGCCACTCCTTAGTACAGTTAATCACGATATTTAAGTCTGCCTGAAGTGCGTATGCATCTTCTCCTCCCGTCATTTCTCGCCAGATTTTTACATCATCAGAGTTTAGTAACATTTGAGACTGTACTATACCAGGGAGATCATTGACCCAGGTCAGAATCTTGTAGCACTCCACTAAGTACTAATCTCCAGGTGGAGCACTTGAAATTCACCCTTACTTACTGTCTACGGCATGGCGCGAAACGCTTAGACCAATTTACGAGAGGTCCACCAATGTCTAGAATTTCCGCCTTATAGCAGCTTACGTGCAACTGAGTTTGTTCACATTTAATTTGGCCCTTTTATTAACTCATTTAACGGACAGAGTCATTCGTACAATAAAAACTTATCTATGTCATTGCTCCTTTATTATTGTTGCACTTGTGTGAATACGTATACTTGAGCATTGCTTACTGCCTACGCATATATTCATTCTGCTATCCTTACTGCTGGTCACCTACTTTATTCAATGATTCATCCATTTTACTGTGTATACATATGTATATTTGAATCATGTTCGCTTGCTCGCACATTCGACTCACACGCTTATTCGCTTGCCCCTTTGCTTTTTGGCACTACTCTTTGATGCTTGATTAGCGTACCTTTAATTTTGGTGATCTGTGCGTTGTGTCGTCTCCATACCCCCCTCCATATGCTAGGACTTGCCGGTGCAGCCGTTTAACAGACCATCTCAATCATGAACTTGAATAAGATAACTGCATGGTCACTTCTTCATGGAGATGGGAGGAAAGTCATTTGACTGACTTCATCATCGTATGTGGAGACTAAGTCCAAGAGAAACGAGCAGCTTTGTAAGTCACATCTGGTGGGAGCTGAAATATTGCTGGAATATAGTTAGTGTAATTGTGGTTTACAGCAATCTGCGATCAAATGACGTTACTGATGACCCTGTTGAATTATGGCCTACTTCGTTATTAGTGCCAATACCACTACAACACTATTTCCAAGTTTCACTAGTCTACGTACGGTGTTCAATATCGAACGAACTTGTTTAAAAAATTGCATGTTATCATTATTAATGGCTTAATTCAATATTATATTTTGGTACAATATAGAGTTGTCAGCACAGGGTGTTTCAACAAGTCTCTTCTACAAAACACAAAAACAAAGACAAAAGAGAGAAGAAAAAAGGTTAAAAATCTGAAGAAAACTGTACAACTTTTCAAATTAGAGACATGTTAAGAATGAAAGTTATTGACTAGGTTAACTCCAACAAACTGTTCGTCACAGAGTATATTTGCTAGGTAAGGTATTATAGAACTCTTATACTTTCGCCTGCGTGCATGAATTTTAATGTATTTACATCTCGTTCTACCAGAAAATATACAAGGAGAAAGATAAGAGTGAAAGGGATGGCTAGTATCTGATAAAATAACACATGCCAGGAGTTTGCATGACTTTAGATGTCTATCCACAACCATATTAATTATGACCTCGAAAGATTCAACACACACCTTGCTAACTGCTTTCAGCACTCTCCACAATACAGCAAAGTCTTTTCTCAAACGCCCGGGAAGGCATAATGGAGAACAGTAAAGAATAATAGGTAATATGCAAGAATTGACAAATTGTAAGAGTAAATATCGAGTAATTCCAAGAGCACGCAATCTCTTTATGTAGTAAGTCAGACGGAAAGCTTTCTTCGATAACAATAAAGGCCAACAGAGATCGGTGGAAATGGTAAAACCAAGATAACTGACCTTCGACACTGTGTTTATCAAAGAGTCTTTGATAGCACAAACATGATGGGATCTCAAAATGGTGTTCTGATGCCGTTCATGTCTCATGCTAAAGTTAACTGTTTGACATTTAAACGGATTAAGTATGAGACTGTTATGACCTTGAATGGCTTTTACACCGTGACACTTGTTATGACTTGACCTCGGTCTGTCTAGTCTAAATTATGACCTTGACGCGTTAGGCTGAGCGGCTTAACCTTGAGTCTAATACGCGTGAGTTCGAGATGGGGTAGAGAGACAACTATTCTAGAACCTAATTGGTTGGCAAGCACGCAAGTGAAAGAAGACAAGACAGTTGGAACACTGAACTCTGGATTCTCTGAATTCGGATTAGTACAAAAATGTACATGAATAAATAAGTGAATATCTTGACCACAATGTACGATAATTTGGAAAAATACAGTTATGCCCGAAACAGGGAATTAGGGTAGAAAATAAAGTGCAAAATATTATGTTTAAATTACAATATTTTCGGAACAAAAAAAGGTATGCTAATGAATGATACATAGAACGAAAGCTCGTGTTATGTAGAATAAGAGAGGGACAAAAATAAATATAAGTATTTTACAGTGTTTGAATGAAATGCAATAAAGTCCAAAGAAAATAGCTTTCGTGATTGTCTAAGCTTCTTAATTCCCCGTTCACAACAGAGACCATTACCGACAGACCAATAATCAACACGAGACAAAAACTCATTCATTTCTATGGGACGCAAAGAGGTAGAAATCGGCATACATACAGTGAGATCATCCGCATACTTCACAAAAGTGTTTTCTGTGGAAGATGGCAGGTCATGCAGAGAAAAAAAGAATAGAAGAGGTGAAAGAACAGCTCCTTGTGGTTCATCTTGATGAGACAGTAGACTCTGAACACTTTCATCTAAACACAGAGAGGTGGGAACATGGCCAGTTGGTTATCCAACTGTCAGTGTTGACGTTGACTGACGTGTTAAGTAAATGTTGTCTTGGCATAGAATCGAAGGCTGAATTATAGTCCAGAAAAGCGCATCCAACATACGTTTTACAGTTTTATAAGTGGAACACCATACTGTGATGCAGAAGAGCAACAGCATCTAAGGTGCTTATTTTGCATCTGTAGGCAAACTTATACGGATCAATAATGTCTTTTATCGCAGGCTGAAGTGGAAGTATTAGTAATTTTTTCATTGATTTGAAGAAGGGTGAAGTTATTGCAATAGATCCAAATTTCACATTCTTATCACCAGATATTTTCTTGGGTACAGGGATTATCTTCATCTTTCTCCATATTTTCGGTATGAGATTAGATGAGAAGGATGTGTTAAAGATAGTCGTGGATGGATAACATAGGACGTCAGCACATTAAAAAAAAAGAATTTTGAGATACCATCAGATCCTAAACATCGGGATGAACTGAATGACTGGAGACATCTTCGGACATCAGTTTTACTGAAAGTAGGAACACAGCTATTTTTTAAACCCGTGGATAGAGGGAGCATCACATCAGATGACTGACGTACAAAAGACTTAGTTAAGTCACAAATATTCATCTGGTTATCGCTCTTAATCTGTCTGTCAACTGCAAGTTCTTTAAAGAGTTTCCACATACTTGGAGAGTTTTTGCAAGATAAGAGTTTTTGAGTAAACATAGAGTTGAGACGTCTAATTTCCAGGTTTATCAGACCATTTAGCTTACGAATTTCATTAGTTTTTCTCCTTGTACATTCTTTCACCCTCCGTAGTCGTTTTAGTTGTGAAGATGTTTGTCGATCAAAGCTTACAAAAATGGTTTCAGTGGGACAAAAAACATAAAAACAGAATTTAAGGTAACGTGATAAAATCAGTAGTGATCTTAGTTGAGTCATCTGTAACTAATTCCCAGTTAGTCGTATGAAACATGTTTTTCAGATTTCAGATATTTTCTTCTGAGTGATTCCTATATTTGACTTTCTTGTTTTGATGTACGAGTGTACACTTCCCATGCACTTGAGAATGACAAATTTTGTCTGCAAAAGAGCTTTACACAACCCGAGTGGTTACATGTATACACGAATCCATAATTTGGATATGAAGTTTGTATGAACTAATGATCCCCAGTACTTGATGTCTGCCTGATTTTTAATTTCAGATACGGTGGGTTCGTTCTAGTTCAAGTTATTGCAAATTTAACTATTTCGGACATTTTCAGTTAATACAATATTTCAAATACTTTTAATCATCACATCGGCGTCACGATGGAGAATGTGACGGAACAATAGAACATACACTCAAATTACGAAGTTTTTGAGGATTATATTGGAAAGGTTCGCAATCTGGACTGTGGTCACAGAAAATATTGGGACTCATTTCATAACATTCATTGGAAAAGAAACCTACAGCTTATTAAAAAT